AAAAAAAAAAAGAAAGAATTGACTGCACATACACATTCAGTACACTTGGGGAATTACTGTATAACAGTTGGGTCTTGGTTTAGAAACTATCTTGATGATCTTTCAGGGTGAGAAAGATAAAAATTGCTCACCTCCACCCCTCATCAGGGTGAGATGGATAAAAATTGCTCACCTCCATCCTGCTCACCAGGAATAAGAAAAAAAAGGTCATTTGAATTGCTAGAGTTCTACAGTGAGTGGAAGTAGGGGGTGAAAGAGTAACTTAGAGTTCTACAAATGTGGAAATAGGGAGTGAACAGCAGGATAGCAAAGAAATGGATTTCCGGCTCAGCAGTGTACATCTGCAATGTTTACCACCTAAGTGTTCATAAATCCTCATCTTTGTGGATCACATTCAGGGGTGTGGACAGCCTGAAAGACTGTGGGCTAAGCCACATTTAGTAAGAGGCTAAGACGTGAAGATCAGGTACAGGCAGTGAGATTCCTGGAAGCAAAGATAGATGACTGAGAGTCTGACTGGTGCTGAGATGTCTATGTTTAAATGTCAGGGGTTCTGTTTGTTTTTCAGTATGCGTTATACAAAATAGCTTCTCTGTGTTACCCCAACCACACACACTATCTTCTAGATGTGCTTAGGGTAAAAGAAAGAAAGTGTGTTCCAAGTTCAAGTTATTTTGAGGTAAAAAGAAGAAAACAGCTTAGAGAAGGTGAAATCTGAATGGGAGGGTGTATTCGGCAAGAACAGAGAACTTACATGACCTCAAGGCTGTAACATCTGGGAACTCACTGAAGGGGAGCGCGGCCTCTCTGGGATGGGGATTTAAGTTAATTTAAATTTTACAGAGAAATGAGATCCACAAAGATGGAGGATTTATGAACGCTTAGGTGGTAAACATTTCAGATGTACATTTCTGAGCCAGCTATCCATTTTCATCATTTGTCATTATAACTGTCAGCATTTAAATGCGACAACTAAATAACTATGCTATTTTTGGAATCAATTCATTTATTCTTCATACCTTTCTGGCCAGTGACAGCAAAATCTCATCAGAGAACATTTTGAAGTCTGTGTATTTCCCTAAAGATCTCCGGTAAATGTGGTTATTAAGAATTGTGTAATGAACAACAGCGCCATTCTCGTCCCCAAACCTTTTGGGGATTTCATTTAGCATCTGCTGGAGATTGATGGTGGGGAAGGAAGCAAAATCTTTTGCAATCTGTGGCTCCTTGGTTGGACAAGAAAGAATTTTCTGCCAAGCCTGAGGATCCTCTTCCGGACACTCACAGTATTCATGGTACACTGGCCCTAGGGAAGATAAAACACAAATAATGCCAGGCTTTGTTAACAAGCACCAACACAGGGATTGTTTCTGCCCCTGCTGCTTGGTGAATTCTAAGATTCTAAGATGATCCAGACGGAAGCTAATCTTACATCCCCCTCCCTAATCAGTGCCCTTGTCAAATCAGTGGTAGAAGTAGTTACGTCAGAGTCCTACTCTTCTACTCTGTCCCCTTCTCACACCGCACCACCCTGGATAACCTCTCCCGATCTAACCCACCCTCAGTTAATTGGCTGCTAAATTTATTTCTAGTGAGGTATAAATGGTTGATAAACATACAAAAAACTTACAAAGAAAAAGAGAATGTATTAACATGTAGTAAGGGCAGTGATTTTTAAAGACAAGGTGGGGGTCTCCGCTGAGCCCTTAAAATCAGCACATCCTAAAGAAGGAATAAATAACCCAGGGGGTCTGGTAGGGTAATTTTAAGGAGCCATGCTTAAGTATGGAATGACTCTGAAGACTGATTTAACAAAATAATTATGCAAATTTTATATCTTGTTTCAAGATATATCTATATTTCAATATAAAAATTATTTTAAAAATTATTTAAGTTTTTGAGGATTTCTTTTTTTTTTTTTCTTTTGAGACAGAGTCTCACTGTGTTGCCCTGGGTAGAGTGCGGTGGCATCACAGCTCACAGCAACCTCAAACTCTTGGGCTTGTGCGATTCTTTTGCCTCAGCTTTCCAAGTAGCTGGGACTACAAGCACCTGCCACTTTTTTGAGGATTTCTACTTCAGGGCAACACGAGTAACTAGAACTGATTTTTCCTTCCACCTGAAACAACCAAAAATTGCCCAGACAAAATATATGAAACAACAGTCTTTAAGACACTGGATATTAGCCAGTGAAGGTCAGTGAATCTGAAAGATGGGAGACAATAAGGTAAACCCTGTAATTCCTACAGCTTACTGCTTAAGGGAATTTCAAGGCTGCAGTATAGGGGAGAGGGATGTAAAGCCAGGCAGGCTCAGTGAGTTGAAGAAACAGAATTGACAGAGGAGACCAGCTCTGGTCTCCTTGGGGAGACCAAGGCAGCTAGAATCTGTAGGACAGAGTATCTGAAAAGAGAGCACCGCACAGAGAAAGAACTCCAGAGATCTGGAGAAGGCCCCCTTGAAATATTTAGCAGAACATAACCAGTGCAAGTCTGTGAGGAAACTATCCAAGGCAGGGGAAGAAACATCAAAAATGTTCAGAGGGAATAGTACCTACCTCACACAGAGGGCTGGGAATAGTGCCAGTTGGTACCAGCCAGACTGGAATGCCTCCTGATTCATGGGGCTTGGTATGGAAGGGGATTGCTTCAGTAGTGGGGAATAATTAGCCCTAGACTAAATACAGCTCTAGTCTCACCTAATAAAAGCAAAACTTGAAAGGATTAAATTACTTCCAAGTAACTCAACTGCCTCCTAGGAAAAAACTGAAGAAGATGAAAAAGCATCAAGGGTAAAAAATATGCTATATAAAATTAATGACAAATTGTGGACTTTGCAGATGAAAAGATCAGTGAATTTAAAGACAGCAACAGAAACTATAAAAAATGAAACAGAAAGAAAGATAAAGTGTTATCAACGAACCATGAGATAATTCAAGCCTAATATATAGGTGATGAATATCCCTGAAGGTAAGCTGGGATGGAACAGAAAGAAATATTGGAGGAATAACGGTCAAAAGTTTTCTAAATTTGATGAGAACTACAGACCCTAAAGATCCAAGTAGATCCATAAGCCCCAAATACAAGAAACATGAAGAAAACGAGAGCAAGGCACGTAACAGTCAAACTGCTCAAGACAACTGATAAAGAGAAAACCTTAAACGCAGTAGAGGAAGGAGAGAGGATAACGGTAGACTTATTGGAAACAATACAGGAGAAGACCATGGAGCAGAATCTTTAAAGTACTAAAAGAAAAAACAACCCCATCAACAAGTAACTCTATAACCAGGGAAAATGTCTTTTTTAAACAAAGGCAAAATAAAGATTTTTTCAGCCATTCAAAGCCTGGAAGAATTCACCACCAGCATTCTCACACTAAGAGATGCATTACTGGAAATGCTTTAGGCAGAAGGCAAATGTTACTACATAGAAATACAGACCTATACAAAAGAATGAAGAGTACCAGAAATGGCAACTACATGGATAAACACACAAGATTTTTTCTCATCATTTACATCTCTTTGCCTTCCCTTAAAGTGTCAAGTTCATTGAACTGCAGGAGGTATGTAGACATTTACCACGCTGCACAGGAAAGGCCTGGGACCTGCAGGCACAGGGCTGCCTCTGAGGTATGTGATACTCACGTACCTTTCAAGATATAGGGAGACTGAGCCACATGCTCATCCCCATAAAGGACTTCTATCTTCAGCCCTTCGTTGACAGTTTCATACATCCTGTACCTTATCAAAAATGTTCCATCATTCCTGTCCAAAGGTTTAGGAACATGAATCCGGACTAACTCTTTTGGAGAAAGAGATCTGATTACTACTTTGAATGATGTTTGACCTGAAATAAAAAGAAATATACATCACAATTATTATTCCTCAACAATTATTGGATAGATGTCTATATAAAGTATGTAAGTTACTTATTCCTATAGCATCAGTGGAAATCATTTCTCTTTGGAAGATCTGAGAGGCCTGGTTCATATATTCAAACCAAGGATCAACATTTCTTCCATCATTCATTTAATAAAGATTTATTGAATGAACAAAACCCCTTTATTTCTAAAAAGCAAAGAGGAAATTAACTTTTTACTTATGCAATCTTTTCTGCTTTGGGCAGGATTAAAACGCAGATAGTTAAAAATCCAGGAACTATGCATTATATACCTTTATAGTAATCCAATTTCCTTCTTATAAAAATTACGTAAGCTTTCTCTGTATGCCATTTCAGTATCTACTAACCCTAGTTTCTGAGAAAATTTATCCTCTTCTTAACCCCCAATTCAAGTGATACTTCTCAGCCCTTTTCTTCAGGTAGAGAAAGATTACAGTTAGTTACCAGAATCTATGCACAAGTACATACACCCCAAGACAAACATCTTTGTAAATACTAGAGTTTACTTCTCTGAGTCCAGTTCTTCACCTTGAAATGAAATAGTTATACTGTGATGATTCCTTCCAATGCCAACATTCTGTGGGTTTTCTTTTTTCTTTGCAGTTTTTTGCCAGGGCTGGGTTTGAACCCACCACCTCCAGCATGGGGAGGGTTTTCTATTGTAGGTAAACAATACCTACCTAGGAAACTTTCCCTATTCTTTTAGCTGACTTATTCAGGCTTTAAAACAATAACATTATATTAATGTTACTATGGCCCAGTGATAAACTTTGAAACCTTTCTTCAGAGAATGCAGTGGACATACCATTCAGATCACCAAATCAAAAGGATATGTTTTTCTGGTATTTCTGCCTTTTTTTTTTTTGGCTGGGGGCTGGGTTTGAACCCACCACCTCTGGCATATGGGGCCTGCACCCTACTCCTTTGAGCCACACGTGCCACCCAAAGGGATATGTTTTTAAAAGGTGGTGAATCTTGTGAAATCTACACCTCTAGCAAATAGCAAGTTGTCACCAACTTTTTTTCTTGTGGGTCAGGAGGAATGTTTCTCAGTCTCTTCAAGTTAGTAACAGCAATGTACTATGTGACACCCTGTTATTATTAAATAACTAAGTACCCAAAACATATTTTAGGATCCTTTAAACAAGTACGATAAAATTATGAAAGAAACCTTTTAACAGAAATCAACCCTAATAGGTAAACATAGGGGATGCAATATAAAAGGGAATAATATAATATGAAATTATTAGAAATGTTGGCCCATTACCTGAAATCTATAAATGAAACCCGTAAATCAGAACTTTGCATTATTTCCCACTTGGTTTCAGAAAGGCAATATGGCACAGCAGATTGAAAACCAGGAGTGCAGAATCTGAGGATTAGAAAGCTGTTTCCACTGTTCTCTCCCCAAACCAGACATACACAAAAAGGCTTGCTTATCTCCTAATCAGGCAGTCGTCTTCTCCTTAAGTTTGTCATTTTAAATGAGCAAAACAGATGTAAGGCATATTACTATGTGATTTTTTTTGGAAAGAGGTAGACTTAGAGAAAAAAACACTAGCTCCAAAATAGTGCATTATTTGTAAATTGAAAGTATTGGACTGGATCAATATGTTTGCCTCCTTTTATAACATTTTTGGTCTCTGAAATAGCATTTAAAAGTTATACATGCAGGGTGGCGCCCCTAACTCAGTGGGTAGGGCGCCGGCCACATACACCAGGGCTGGTGGGTTCCAACCCAGCCCCTGCCTGCTAAACATCAATGACAACTGCAAGAAAAAAATAGCCTGTAGCAGTGGCTGTAGTCCCAGCTACTTGGGAGGCTGAGGCAAGAGAATCGCTTAAGCCCAAGAGTTTGAGGTTGCTGTGGGCTGTGATGCCATAGCACTCAACCCAGGGCGATAGTCTCAAAAAAATTAAAGAAGTTATACATGCAGCCCCCAGGTTACAAACAAGATAGTTTCTGTAGGTTTGATCTTAAGTTGAATTTGTATGTAAGCTGGAAGAGGTATATTTACCTGTTAATAGCCTCTGTTTGTAAGCATGAGTTGTACGTAAGTCAGATGTTTATAACCTGGCAACTGCCTATATTTCAAAATGTATGTGTAAAACTACAATGTAGCCATTGGCAATACGTATTTTAAATGTTTAGTTATTTTTATAATATTTCATGGCTGTGTCATGGTGAGTATAAAGTTAATGTTAGAATCAATACAACCTAATATTGATTGGGACTGAAATAGAAATTAGCAATTTTAACCTCATAAGAGACAAGATGAGAAGAGTAAAATTTCAAATTGCTTCAAATGGAAGGAATGTGAATTCTTAGTTGCCCGGGGGGATAATATGATGGACCAGAACTGAAGCTCAGCTTGAGTGAGTATTCCACTCCCCAAACTCCAGCCTCTCCAAGAGAAACAGCTATTTGGATGAGTGCAGTAACTATGTAGAAAAACGAGGCTGGCAGTATCAAAGTCTCACATCATTAGAATCAGAAATCTTGGACACATTTGATTTGGAAAGAAATCAAAAGCATTCTTAGAAACTCACTTAGTACCTACTATGGGCCAGTCTCTGAGCTTGTGATTTTCATATGTATTTTCTACCTCATTTACTTTCTACAAGAAAGGTAAGTATGTGTCAGCCCCATTTTACAGGTCAAGAAATCAAGTCTCCAACAAGTTAAATAACTTGCCCAAGGTCACGTATGTAATAAGTAGCAGAGCCAATATTTGAAAGAAGCCTCACAGAATTCAAAGCTGGAGGAATAGTTCTGACACTTCTGGCACAATGGAGTCATCTCCTTCTCTATTGTTAGGAAGTTTAATAAAGCTCTCGGTAGCTGCAACAAAAGTGTTGACCCCACATGGCCAAGTGAGCAGAGCCCTAGAAGGCCAAGATGTTATGCCCTGAGACTTAAATGGAAGTCCTGCAGAAATTTCTGGTCGCTTGATGACCACAAACATTCTCCAAGATCTTACTGACCACCAATGCATGACGGTATTAAGGGTGACCTGAGAGAAGGAAAGAGCACTGGTTGTTAGCTCTGCCAAATATTAGCTAGGGAACCCACGGCAAGCCATTTCAGCTCCACTGAGCCCACTTTCTTACGCCAAACGTGAACAGAATGATACTATTCTTACCTAACCACAATATCTTGGAGAACAAATTAAACAGGGCATAGTTAACAACACGAAAGTACAATGCAACCAGGAGGTAGATTATTTTATGAAGATATCACTGCTGATGAAGGTAGAAAAGTGAGTAGGAAGTAAGTATTTACATCCTTTCATCGTGACATATTTGAACCATCTCTCTCCCACCTCTTCTTTATTTTCACCTACAGGACTTGCTAAGCATCTCTCTACTGGGCACTGTGCTAGATGCTGGGAATCTAGCAGCAGCAACAGGGTCTGTCTAAATTCATACTTGAAGGAAATGTTCAACTTCATTCAAAGGTTAGTGAAAATAAAAATACAGTTCTTCCTCTACCCAAGGTCAGAGCACCTCCTAATTTTGTCTATGGACCCCAGTTTCAGATCCACTGCTTTAGACCACTGAAGTTCACAATATTTTTGTTATCTAGGTACTTGGATCTATGCAGCACGATAATGACATTCAGATGAACGCCACACTGTTAAATGGGAGTAATAAAGGAATCTTCCTATGTCATGTACAAAAAGCTACAGCTGGAAAAAACTTTCCCTCTTCATCAGTTAGTTCTTTTTTTTTTTTTTAAATTAAATGATAGCTGTGTACATTAATGCAATCATGGGGTATCTCAGGACTTGTAAGTGGAAGACAAGTGGCAGAAAACGTAAGAAACTGGTTGGATGAGCTTTTCAGAATAATATACAAGGCAGCTTTCAACTGGAAGCTAAAAATTAAGTGGCTTACAAAGAATGAAAGGGTCAGGTTGTCTGAAAAGTTTTTGGTGCCCTGCTAAAAATCTAACATTTTTTTTCTTATGATTTTTTTTCGGATTCTAAAAACATCATGATCATTTGGGAGGAAACTGTTTTGGGGGAGAGGGATAAGAATATCAAAAAGAAAAAATTCCTCCCTCTCTGGCTATAACCACTGATAAGTGCAGGTGGTCATTACCAAATTGGAATGAGACCATATAATTTATTTTCTATTTATTCCACCTTTAACTTTGTATAAAGATTATTAAATAATCTGTATAAATGTTACTTTTTAAACAATTTTAAACATTTTTAACTGTAGTTTAAAAAAAGCATAAAATTTACCATCTTAACCATTTTTAAGTATACAGTTCAGTAGTATCAAGTATATTCACCTTGTTGTGCAATGAATCTCCATTTTTCATCTTCCAAAACTGAAACTTTATACTCATTCAACAACTTCCCACTTACCCCAGCCCCTAGCAAACATCATCCTATTGTCTGTTTCTCTGAATTTGACTCCTTTAAATACCACATGTAAGTGGAATCTAAGATGATACCTTTAGTGGCTGTCAAATATTCTATCATAATGAATGTACCATACTTTATTTAATAATTACTTTATGGTTGGCTATTTAGACTTGCTATAACAAATCATTATAATGCTTCAAAAATATCCATGTATGTAAATCTTTGGCCACATTTAGATGATTTTCTCAAGGCATATATCTAGCAATCAGATTTCCAGATTAAAGAATATGACAGTTTTTGTAAATTATATCTTTTAAAAAATTACATTTTCTAACTGTTGAAATTTGTTTTTTTATACTAGCTTTTGTAAAGTTTAAGACTCTTGACAGTTCTAAAAATTACTTTCTAGAAACAATTTATCAATTTATGTTCTACCAGATGAGAAGGTTGGTGACTGAGACAGTCACATTGTCCCCTTAGCTACTTTGAGTATTTTCACTTAAAAAAAAAAAATCTTGGTAGGGATCGGTGCCTGTAGCTCAGTGGCTAGGGCACCAGCCACATATACCAGGGCTGGCAGGTTTCAGCCTAGCCCGGGTCTGCTAAACAACAATGACAACTATAACAAAAAAAATAGCTAGGTATTGTGGCAGGTACCTGCGGTCCCAGGTACCTGCGGTCCCAAGTACCTGCGGCTGAGGCAAGAGGATCGTTTAAGCCCAAGAGTTGAGATTGCTGGGAGCTATGATGCCACAGCACCAAGGGTGACATAGTGAGACTCTGTCTCAACAACAACAAAAAAACTCTTGGCAGGCCAGTGGAAGTGGCTCACACCTGTTAATCCTAGCACTCTGGGAGGCTGAGGCAGGTGGGTTGCTTGAGCTCAGGGGTTCTAGACCAGCCTGAGCAAGAGTGAGACACTGTCTCTACAAGGACTCCTTCCTGTTTATAAGGGTTCAGCAATAACTCTCCTTTTTTACTAAAATAAAGAAAGAAAACCTAGGCCAGTGTTGTGGTAGGTGCCTGTAGTCCCAGCTACTCAGAAGGGTGAGGCAAGAAGGATGGCTTGTGCCCAAGAATTTGAGGTTGCTATGAGCTGTGATGTCATGGCATTCTACACAGGACAACAAGGGGAGACTCCATCTTAGACTCCATCTAAGAAAAAAAAAAAAAAAGAAAAGAAAAAAAACTTTGCCAATTATTTTTAGATAAAAAATTGAGTTTTATTTGAATTTCTATTCCTTTCATTAATAGTAAGATTAAGTTTTAATTTAGATCATGTACTTTTCTTTTTTCATAATAATTAGTTTTCCATCTTCTTTTTAAAGTTCCCTTTCAATATAACATTATAAAATTAATTTTAGAACACAAAGAAAACTATAAAGAAGGAAATATACCGCATAGTGAAAGACTTTGAACTTGGATTTAAGAATTGTTTCTTTGGATCTTAAGATAATGGAAAGTCTTTCTGCAACTAAAAAAAGTAAAGTCAAAGTCTGCAAGGGTAAACCATGCAGAAACTCAGATATCACTCTCCTTTTGTTAGGATATTTAACAGACACTGTAAACTGTTTCTGGTTTGTTTAAAAATATGTACATCAGTATTTGTATGCAAATGTGACATACAAATTTATGTCATGTGTCACCTGTATTTTAGTTAAGGGTTTTTAATATACATCAGAGGTTAGTAAATTATAGCTAACACAGCTCATTGCCCTGTTTTTGTAAAGCCTGTGAGCTAAGGATGGCTTTTACATTTTTGAATAGTCAGAAAAGAAAATTCTGTAATGTATGAAAAATTATATGAAATTCAAATTTCAGTGGCCATAGTTTTTTTTTTTTTTTTTTTTTGAGACAGAGTCTCACTTTGTCACCCTCCATAGAGTGCCCTGGTGTCACAGCAACCTCCAGTTCTTGGGCTGAAGCCATTCTCTTGCCTCAGCCTCCGGAGTAGCTGGGACTACAGGCACCCATGACAATGCCGGGCTACTTTTAGAAACAAGGTCTGGAACCTGTGAGCTCAGGGCAATCCACTCATCTTGGCTTCCCAGAAAGCTAGGGTTAATTACAGGAGTGAGCCAGCATAGTTTTACTTTATTTCACTTTTTGAGAAAGGGTCTCTTGCTCTGTCACCCCAACTAGACTACAGTGATGTCATCATAGCTCACTACAAGCCTAAACACCCTCGGCTCACTGGATCCTTCTGTTTCAGCCTCCTGAGTAGCTAGAATTACCAGCGCACACCACCACACTCAGCTAGTTTTTAAATTTTTTTGTAGAAAGAGAGTTTCCCTATTTTGCTCAGGCTGGTATTGAACTCCTGGTCTCAGGTGATCCTCCTACCTTATCTTCCCAAAGTGCTAGGATTACAGGTATAAGCCTCCTTACCAAGGCCATAAATCATTTTAAAGAACACATACAGGTCTCTTTGTTCACATACAGCTACAAAGGCAGAGCTGAGTAAATGTAACAGAGACTATGTACGGTATGACCTACAAAGCCTAAATTATTTACTATCTGGCCTTTTAAAGAAAAAGTTTCCTGGCTCAGCACCTGTGGCTCAAGTGGCTAAGCCAGCCACATACACCTAAGGTGGCAGGTTCGAATCCAGCCTGGCCCGCCAAGCAATGACGGCTGCAACCAAAAAATAGCCGGGCGTTGTGGCAGGTGCCTGTGGTCCCAGCTACTTGGGAGGCTGAGGCAGGAGACTCGCTTCAGCCCAGGAGTTGGAGATTGCTGTGAGCTGTGATGCCACGACACTCTATCCAGGGAGAAAGCTTGAGGCTGTGTCTCAAAAAAAAAAAAAAAGAAAAAAAAGAAAAGAAAAAGTTTGCTGAACCCTTATAAACACTGAGCAGTCCTTGTCAAGAGTCAGAATTATTTTATCCCAATGAATATAAATTATATAAAACCAGTTGTCTTGGGTGGCACCTGTGGCTCAGTGGGCAGGGTGCTGGCCCCATATACTGAGAGTGGTAGGTTCAAGCCCGGCCCCTGCCAAACTGCAACAATAGCTGAGCGTTGTGGCAGGCGCCTGTGGTCCCAGCTACTCGGGAAGCTGAGGCAAGAGAATCACCTAAGCCCAGGAGTTGGAGGTTGCTGTGAGCTGTGACACCACAGCACCCTACCGAGGGCAATGAAATGAGACTCTGTCTCTAAAAAAAAAAAACAAAAAAAAAAACAGTTGTCTGAGGCTTTAGACTGGTAGACATGTTATTAAAGTGATGATCAAAGACAACTTCAGGAGTGGTGTTCTGAATCACATGCAGAGCCCAAGCCACTGCGGTGGGTTAAGCAAAAGAGGATTCTTGTCATTCTGCAGCTCAAGGTTCTCCAGTGGCTCTCCCTCATCTCCTCCTACAATCCTTTGCTCGGCATTCCAGGCCCCCGAAGATGTCTGGCTGCAATCTGACTAGTCTTTTCCGCTCAGCATCATTAAGTTACATCACTTATTTTCCCAACCACCACCCTGTTTTATGCCCCTGTGCCAGCCCAGCAAACCCTCTGATCTTTCAAATCTCTGCTCCTGACATCTTCCCGGGCTCGCCAGGCAGACTCTGGCAGTGTTTGCATTCAGTACAGACTTTTATTACCTCAACTATCTCCTACAGTGATCTGTCATTTGCACGTCTGCTTCAGGCTGTAAAATTTTTCATGGGCCAGCACTTTTTATTCTCACATTACCAACCACATCCAAGTAGGCAGCAAATAGATATTTATTGAATGAATGAAATGAAATCTAAAATTCAGTTAATTGTGTTTACTTCCTAAATTCTCTGACTGGACCAATCTTTGCCACCCCACTATCCACCAGGCCCAAGCTGGGGCCCACTTCGGGCCTCTCAGTGACTTTCCCCAGCCGCACTGTTCGAAGGGGAAGAGGCACTGGGTTGTTCTAAATATTTCTTTGTTGATGAAACAGGGTGCCAGTCGGCTGGAGCCCTAAGCTTGGACGTAAATTAGTAAATCCTACTGGCAACGACTTGAAAGTAGCAGCACAAGTTGCAAGAAGTTGCAAAGGTAAGAGGTGACACAGGAGAACGTGGGAGGAAGACCTGGCAGAAAGGGGTTCAGGAAGAGATCCACCCAGGAAAATCAAATGACTTCTACTGAGTTTCACGAATCCATGTAATCTGCTTTCAGTAACTCAAAACTCCAAAGAGAACAAAAGCGAGGTGTGCCCAGCTGCCGCCTCCTTTCTGCCTTTTGCAGGAACATTTCCTCTGCCCAGGAGTTCATGATTTCAAGCTCAGTAGGCCTGGGCAATGTGATCAGGGCGATTCGTGGGCTTGCTGCCTCATCACTTGAAGGCACTCCCTGCATGCTTTAGCAGCTCAGACAACTCAGTCAGGGATGGAAAGACCGTCCCCAACAAGTGACTCACACCGCGTTCACAGAACACCCCGGGCGCCATCCTTTCGGGACCCTGCACCCTCCACGTGGAAGCCCTCTTGGAATTCATGCATTCTCTCATTTAGCAAACTTTTGTGGCCGTTCCTCTCCCCTTTCTGACCTGCCCCAAGAAAGGGCCCCACACCCGGGGCAGGAAGGACACCCAGGCCGCAGCGGATACGGGGCTGCGCAGTCGCGGCGGGGACGCGCGCGGGGAGAGGACCGGGCAGCGGGCGGGAAAGCCCGCAGCTCGACGCTACCTGGGGGCGAGCGAGTGAAGTTCTGGCCCTCTGAGTTGACCGCTTGCAGGTACAAATAGCGCACGGGCAGAACGACGGCCGCCTGCAGCCCGGGCCCCCACACCAGGCTCCGCCGCGCGCTGACCGGCGCCTCGGGGGCCTCCGCGGCCACGAGCAGGGCGAGCTGCAGCGGCAGCAGCAGGGCCCGCGGGAGGCGGCGCATGGTCGGCAGGGCCGCCACGGTCCGGCTCCGCGGAGGGAAGGGGCGGGCAGCTCCGCAGGCCGGGCCGGGCCGGGGCGGGGCCTACCGGGGCGGGCTTGTGCGCGGCCGCCGCGGTCCCCCCGCCGTCCCGCCCCGGGCCTGTCGCGCGGGCTGTGCCGGACTCGCCAGCAGGGGGCGCCGCGCACGGTCGGCCTGGACGCGCCCTCCCGCCGCAGCCCGCCGGGCCCTCGGAGGAAGGGGGTCAGGAGGCCAGCGCAGAGACGCCGGGGGGTTCTAACGGACACGGCCGAGCGGCGATCGCCGGGAGAAAGGGCCCCGCCGCCAAGAACTTCGGGGCACGTTAGGGAAATACTTCCCGAAAGGAGCGCCACCGAGTTGGCCAGAGCGAATGTCGCGTCCTCCCACCCCCCGCGCCACCTCTCAAGCCCTGTTGCCCGGGCGCCAACCGCGTTCTGCTGGCGCCTGTTTGCGTTTTCTGCTCAGCAGGCTCCCTCACTTCCCCACTGTGATTCCCTCCACCTCTCCCCTCTTTCGTCTTCCCCCCACATTTCCCTTCTTTCAGCAAAAGGTTTCTGACCCTTTACAGAGTTGGGGCCAAGCCGAGAGTGAACCGCTGACCCGCGGGAACGCAGCCTAGAGCTCTCCCGCGGGTTAGCGATGAGGGTGATGTTTGATCTTGGCCATTCCCACCAGTCCCCAGGAGCTGGACGCTGGACCCAGGAAGAAACTGGCACGGGCCCTTATTGCCCTGTCTGCCCCTCTTTTCTGACCATTTAATCCACATTTGTTATTATTTTTTACTTTTTATCTACTTATGGCTTGAAATTGTTTAAAGGAAATAAAGATTCTCCTCCGGCAAAGTGAGCCAGAGGGAGCTTACTCCCAGAATGAGCACAGGATTCCTGCCCCACCCCCCCGCCCTTGGCAGACATCAATCCAAAAATGTCTGAACCAGACACTGCGCAGCCCTCTGTCCACCTCAAGGCTTTAATTGTGCTACTCAGCGTCCTTGCTATGACCAAGTTTTACCAGGGCAAAATTCTTCCATGTGCCCCAGTTCTCGTGACCTAGTTCAGTAATGCTGAGCAGAGGTTGTAGGCAGTGTTCTTTGTCCTTTGGGAAGAGCAGTCAGTCCCTGGTAAATTGTAGGGTGAAAGTGCATATTTGTTATCACTTTCACTGTTATGTTTTGTTCCATGGGGGTGTCCGCATGCTTTACTTGGAAAGCTTTACTCTGTTCCAACTGTCACTTAAAAAAAGTTATATGGAACACGTTTTGTTCATATTCTTTCAAAGTCAGACTTAAAGACTTTTCCAGAGAAATAATCATTAACTAGTACAGGATGATAGTAAAATATGGCCTATTAAGTTATATAACACTTGGGTACCACCCAGTTTATTTGAGAACAGGTCCAGGAAGCCGTATAATTGTATCTGAACATGTCTTGTTTAGCAACACTAAGTCTGTACCAACCTGTTTTCTTTCTCATCGTAGTCCAACTTTAAAGAACACGTCTCTTCAGATCAACCAATGCCTTGACCAATTCTCTATCATTGGTCAAATTTCATTCATTCAACAAACATTTATTCCATGCCTACTATATTTTATAATAGACATTGCACTTTGGTGTCAAAGTGCCTGTAGTTTAGTGGAGAAGAAAAACAAAGACCAATGTAAATAGTGTATGAGGTGTTAAAATATAGGCTGCAAGACTTGCATGGTCTGGGACTTGATCCTGATTACCAAGCTAACTAGTTAATCAGTTACTGTTTCATGCGAGCTGTCAAGACACAAGTCTCCTGAGTCAGAGACTGTGGACTTTACTAAGCACTGCAAAAACAGTAGCCAGAGCTTTGTGTTGGTTTGTGTTTGTTTCCCAGTGCCTCCCAAGTCCTACAGGGACAATTCAAATGGCCTATGAGGGATGCCTGAACTGGACTACAAGAGAGGAGTACTGATTGCAGGGAATTTACCTCTCTTAAACAGAATCATTCCTACTATTTATGAGTGGGGAGATGTTATCTCATCCCTACACACACTACCCTGAGAAATGGCCTGGGTAAAGACGGGTAGGGGACTTACATTCTTGGCATATCCAGCAAGAATGTTCAGGGAAGTTCAAGGTCTGTGGTAGATTGCCTGTTCCAACATAAGTACACCATACTGTATACACTGTACACTACAGGAGAGGGCCAGTTAATCTGGTTTGGGGGGAAATCAAGAGAGCCTTCCTGAAAAAGATGACCATCAAGGTCAAATAAGAATCAACCAGGTGAAAGGAGGAGGAAAGCAGCCTGGTTAGGAGAAATGTCATGTACAAAATCTGAAGTAAATGACTCACTTCAAGACCATTTCCTTTCATATTCATCTCTATATTCAGTGCCAGTCTCAAACACATAGAATTGTAGTCAGTGTGTGACTCTGAAAGGTCTGGATTCAATACCCTTCTGTGAATTGCACTGGCCCTTGTAATCTTTACATTAATGTCTTGCAAAATCCACAGCTAATTATTGCCCACTCCACCTTTTCTAGCAACTGCCCCTCTTTTTTCACTCCACTCTCCACATGATTAACAGTGAGGCCTTGTGGGCAGCACCTGTAGCTTAAGGAGCAGGGCGCTGGGCCCATATACCCAAGGTGGTGGGTTCAAACCCGGCCCTGACCAAAAACTGCAAAAAAACAAAACAAAACAAACAAAAAACAGTGAGGCTTTGTAAAACACATGAATTTAATCTAAGGCTATAGTTGATTGGCCTATGCTTTGAGACCTGACTCATCCTGAACTAATCAGAATCCTTTCCCTGGAAATGTGTTTGTTTATTTATTTTCAAAATATTAATTAAGGTGGTACAAGTGTTTTTGTTACATGAACATCTTGCATAATGCTTACATCAGGGCTGCTGGTGCACCCATCAGCAGAATAGTGTTCATTGTACCCAGGAGGTAAGTTTTAATCCCACACCCACCCTCCCCAACCTCCTACTTCTTGGTTTTTAATGTCCTTTATATCACTTTGTACCCATGTGTACCCATCTTGTTAGGGAGAACATTGCTTTCACTGGGAGTTTAAAATCAAGGTTAGGAGACTTTGACTCACAGCTAACTATTTCCAGAGAGAATGTAAATTGCTGTTTCTCCACAAAATAGCAGAACAAAGATGGAAGAGAATATAGAAAATTCTCTGCGTTCTCTAGAGAACACTAAAGCTTGGTGTAGTTCATAAGCAGTATCTCTATCCTTGGTTTCTGAGATCCTATGTATCTTTATAATAATTACCTCTTTTTTTTTTTTTTTCTTTGAGACAGAGTCTTACTCTGTTGCCCAGGGTAGAGTGTCATGGCATCAGCCTAGCTCCTGGGTTCAAGCAATCCTCAAATTCAAGTCCTGGGTTCAAGCGATCTTCCTGCCTCAGCCTCCTGAGTAGCTGGGAATACAGGCACCTGCTACAACACCTGGCTAGTTTTTCTATTTGTAGTAGAGGTCCAGTCTTGCTCTTGCTCAGCTGGTCAAATTCTTGAGCTCAAGGGACCCTACTGCTTCAGCTTCCCAGAGTGCTAGGATTACAGGCATGAGCCACTGAGCCTGGCCAATAAATTTAGTGTCATTAATTAAACCTTATATAGGGTTAGGTAAGATTAGATCCCATCAAATGCATAAAACTTTATTTTCATTGTTTTAATGATATTTATTCAACACCCACTTTATGTCATGCATTCCACAAGGTGCTGGAGATATAAATTCAGTCCCTGCCCTTCCATACATTAGTCTATAAGGTAGGTTTTAGGTTGTGAGATAAGTGGTTTTTAATTGCATCCAGAACCAGTTTCCTCCAAAAACACAACTCCTTGTTGGTTTAGCCTGAGTCAGGGGCTCAGCCCTGAACCAATCAACAGTGCCCAGACTGTTAGGGTCATGTGAGATGTTGACTCTTCCACAGGATGTGGCCTGGGGAGAAGGGACGTCAGAGAATAGAGTTCCAGAGAAAAGAAAAACAAGCAGTATCTACTGAATCCTTCCAAAGCATTTCTAGAATGGAAATGTCAATTCCAGACTGGGACGACAGCATAATCTGGAAAGGAGGGCTGAGGAAGAAGACATAGAGCTAGAGAAACACTCAGTGCGTTTCCATTATTGGAACACAAAGTTCCACAGGATCAAGTTCAATTCTCAATTTTTGAAAAATCAAGAAACTTATTAAATATTTTTCTGGCCAATAAATTCTTTCAAAAGCTGATCTTTAATTTTCTAAAGTACATAAATAATTATACATTTATATATTTCTATATATGAGTATATGTGTGTGTATTTATGGTTTAGTTTTAGTTTTGTTTTGTTTTGGTTTTTGGCAGTTTTTGGCTGGGCTGGCTTTTGAACCTGCCACCTCCGGCATATGGGCCTGGCGCCCTACTCCTTGAGCCACAGGCACCACCCTATGGTTTAGTTTTTGATTAAATTTTAGTTTTTCTTTTGCTCATATTTCTGAATTAGAATATGCTCTATATTTTGGAAGGGGTCTTGACTACCCTTTCTGTTTTCTCCTGTTGAGGAACAATCTGCCCCCATACCTGGCCACAAAACAACTGACATTAATAGCCTAGTGTGTATCCCTCCATATATACACATGCATATACAGGTTATTTGTTAATGATTTACAAAAATGGAATTTTACTTTTCTTTGTTGTTGTTGTTGTTGTTGAGACAGTGTCTCACTTTGTCACCCTCAGTAGAGTGGCTGTGGCATCATAGCAACCTCCAACCCTTGGGCTCAAGTGATTTTCTTGCCTCAGCCTCCCAAGTAGCTGGGACTACATGTGCCCACCACCACAACACCTGGCTATTTGTGCATGTGTGTGTGTTGGAGTTGTCATTATTGTTTGGCAGGCCCGGGCTGGGTTTGAACCCGCCAACCTCAGTGTAGGTGTATGTGGCCGGTGCCCTAAACACTGAGCTACAGGCACTGAGCCGAATTTTACCTTTCTTACTCCATAGTACGTCATGGAAATTCTAAGATAACTTATGTAGGTCTATCTTACTTTTTTAATGGTTTCATATCATTACATATGTGGATGTTCCGTAATATATTTAGTCATTTCTTACGAGGTATTCTCTTTGTTTCCAGATTTTGCCACAACAAACATTGGAGCAATAAAAATCCTGTGTTATGTCTATATATTATATATTAGTGTTGTTTATATAGGAGTGATTTTGGGATAAATGAATGTAGTATTTGGTTTATTGGTCCCCAATTCTGCATCTTCATGGTCACAACAGAGATATCAGCCCCTGTGGCAGGTCCAATTCTGTGGCATGGGTTTTGAAATTGATCTTCAAATTTCAGCTACAAAATATCTATCTCCTCAGCCCTAACAATGAGTCTGTGAGCAAAATATACTGTTTAATAAATCTTGTCCTATTTGAACCAGCTAGAGAGGAGTCCGTTGTCTACCACTAAAATCCTAGCTGATCCAATGTAGTGTTTTAAATTTTAATAAAGCATAGTAAAAATATTTTGAATAAAATGCTATGTGCATTCAAGATCATGATACTCTCCTGTCCTTAGTAGAGAAAGGGCTTTGCGTTGCTTCTCCAGAAAAGACAAAAGATTAGTGCAAATATTTGCTTAGCAGGAATGAACTTTGCATGACTTATATTCAACTAGAGAGAACTGCTTATCTTTCATCAGTGTTATTGGACAGTGAAAGCCCCCCAACACTATGTAGCCCCCCAACACTCTCCCTTCCTTTGTAAATATAAGAACCCCCAGAAAAATCACCTTCTTCATTTCTTTCCTATTAGGCAACCATGCACATTGATCTCCTGATGTTGGTTGGTTGTTTTCGGGGTACAAATGAAAGAAAAAGACAAGGAAGCCACTGTTTTTTAAAACCACCTGTATCATGGATGGATCTCATTTAATAGCCACAAAAAAGATTGGTTTGAATACTTTGCCCCCTTTTAGTATTTTTCCCGAAACTTTTACACTTAAAAGGAATCATTTGAGGATGGGAATAAAAACCAAATCAAATAGTGTATCCATTTAAATCATTTATTTCGACACAAGTCTCGTTTTAAATTTCCACCTCGTAACACAGTTCACACCCAGAGAACAGGCCTGAGAATAATTACATAAAAGGATCATTTGAGAAAGTTTTAACCAAGTGCTTACAGTTTGCTTGTTACAGAAACACAGAATTGCCAATCACAAGGAGCCAGTAAGTGGCAATACATTGGCAAATTTGCTTGAAAAGTAAAATATTTTACATATTTACATTCTATGTTTAAATGAGACATTCTGAAGCACTATTATTAACAATGAATTTTTTTTTTGAGACAGAGTCTTACTACGTTGCCCTCAGTACAGTGCTGTGGCATCATAGCTCACAGCAACCTCAAACTCTTGGGCTTAAGCAATTCTCTTGCCTCAGATGCCTGCCACAACACCCGGTTATTTTTGGTTGCAATTGTCATTGTTGTTCAGCTGGCCTGGACTGGGTTTGAACCTGCCAGCTTCAGTGTACGTGGTGGGCGCCGAGCCTTAACAATGAACTCTTAGCAAGAGGGCCTCTTTAACCCTCTGGCATTTAGAGAAGGATATTAATTTTATAGTTTGCCAGTTTGATTCTTATCTTCACCATATGCTAAGTGGACTTTCTTTCACCACCTTCAGTATAGATATTTACGTCATCCACAAAGTAGCTTTTATTAGCTTATCAGCAACCAGGCCCTTGTTAGTAGCAGTTGGAATTTTATTAACATCAATGTATTTACAATGTAAAGGTAAATTATTTAGAGGGAAGTCTCCGAAAATTAACACAACCTCATTAAACCATATTCTAAGTGGACTTTACAGTACAAAATGTATGGTTAAGAAGTCTAGTATTTAAACAAGTCAATAATTTACAAGGTACTAATAGGTATGGATTCCCCCATGATCTACTCCATTTACATGAATGTGTATATTAATAATGATTATATCTTTTAGAAAACAGGTTATGAATATAAAAATGGCTACCGTAAATTACCGTAGCTATAGCAAAAACGAACACTAAAATGTAGCAGTTTGTATGTTAAAATACATAGAAACTTGCTAGACTTCTTTAACAAAGTGCTTTATGAAAGTATAAAACTACAAAATGTGCTATTTTCACGAATTTTCTGTTCTCCTGGTTCTTGAGCCAGGCCAGGGAGCAAAGATTATACATAGTGCAACTGAGCATTGACCATCAATTACATTTGAATTCAGACCGTAGATTGCAAGGTAGAGAGTCCAGGCCCCAAAGCAATTTTTAATCCTTACCTTACCTATTGCCACAGCCTAAACTCACTGAAAAAGAAGCTAGTTCCATTTAATCTTCTGTAGCCTCCATGTAGTTTCAGAATACATGTTGAAATGGACCTTACACGCTGATCATTAGAAAAATGAATCTGAATATTAAAATATTAACTCTGTATTTTAACATCACATAGAAAGAGGTCATAGTTTATAAAAAATTTACTTAAATAATCAGATAAATAGAAAAGGAAGGGTAGAATTTAAAAACATACATTAAACAGAATAAAATGTTATTCTTTACCACGTAAATCTGAGTTCAAAAGTTTACAACAGTTGGTTTACAATGTTATTACCAGTCTTTGAGCGTGAGATTGGTCGTAGCTTGAAATTTAAGGAGCAGCTTTCATTTTAGTTACCTGATCATTAGTTGTGAGTTGCATGGGAAGAACGTGAAGCAGCCCTGATGTTTTGCTACTCAGCAAGGCAATGATACGGAGGAAAATAGTAATATAGTTCTTTCCTGCATTTCTAGCAGTTCCAGATCTCTATACACCTACCATTCATTTTAATTTATATGGAGAGAAAAATGGAAAATAAAATCAGGTCAGGCAGCAAATATAAACCAAACAAGATAAACTCCACTAATGCCGAGGACCCTATGTAGGACGGTCACTGCCATCTGTTGGTCTTTATCCTGAACTAGGAGAGAAATCCCCTGATGTTTTACACAACTAAGGAGCTGGGAAAGCCAAATTACCAGCGGCTAGCATAAGTAATTTACTCTAGATAAAGTATTGAAAATTTTACAAGAACACGCCTTTAGGAGCTCTGCCTTAGAATGTCTCGAGGGTTTGGTGAGTGACCCTGCAGAGAAGCTTGTGCATCCCGAGGTATCAGATCTGACTTGACTGTATTTTAGGGACTGGATAAGGTTCCCACTTGATACTTAGGACTAAAATGTCCTACTTGAAAAGAAGTGTTCTATCCTGCAAATAAAGAAAGTGGGGAAACAGATAGCTCTGGGGAAAGAGGACAGACCAACTGCTGAGAGCTCTATAGTAAAGGTAAGTGTGTCCCGGGAAGACGGATCTCCTTGGCTTCACCCTCATTTGTTCCCTCCTTAAGCAGAAATTTTGTGGCCATGCACCCACGTATGGTCAGGTTGCCTGGCCCAAGTCTCTGCCTCAATTAAGATTCATGCCTTACTAATTCAGCCAGTCCCCACAAACTGTTTCAGAGGAATTCCCAGGAGCACTCATCTTCCATTGGCTTACTAGAGATTCAGCCTCTCGTCTATAACCTTGACATGTGCTTTAAACATGTGTCTCCTGGGCTCCACTGAAGATGTAACAGGATGTCCTTATGAAAATTCCTTTATCTCTGTTTGAAAGGAAAAAAAAAAACTTAAAACTCCCGAATGTTGATGAGTCAATAGGATGATAATATTTACTCCATAGTTATTGCCCCTATCTCTTGTTTAATGTCATGAGTGTGGGGTGTGGACAGGAAGAGGCAAAATAGAGTTTCGCAGTTATGTTTGGTGATTAGTAAGTTTTGCAGGTGCCTGGGATGTTAGAACAATAAATCACAATAAAAGATGTAAAAATTTAAAGGGGGTAAGTAAAGCAGAAAGCCAGATGGACAGTGAATTAGAGACTAATTTGCAGGGAGGTGGAAAGGCAGGCCCAGAACCTACAGACAAAGAGAAGAAACCGCAGAGAATCCCTGCAAGTAAGAATTAAGTGGTCTAGCATTCAGGAAGGGGGTATATGGAGTGTGGAGGAAAAAGGAGAATTTAGGTTATTTTGGAGCAGGTCCTGCTAAGATTAGATCTTTTACATCTGTCCTTCCCATGGACACATTCACACTTAACTCTTTATTTCTATTACAAGCTTTTTGTGAAAAGGTAACGAATTTTATTTTAAAAGCCTCACAGTTCTGACTCTTTATCCTTTTCATCCAGATAGTATTCGTCATCTGTGGTCGTGTCTGTGTCACAATCTGAGTCCACTGGGTCGTCCTCATAGATATTAAGCGGCTCACTTGGAGATAAGCCACCCTCTGGCATTGGCCCCCCAATAGAATTTGAGCTTAGTGACTCAGATGCGTTGGAAGGGCTAATCACATCATCTTTTAGGAAGCCAGGGTTCTTAAGAAAACTTGGTTTCCATAATCTTCCTTGCGTGAGTGACCTCTTTACATTTTCCAAGAAAGCTAACTGCTGTTCTTTCCCAAAAATCCCATAGTCAATAGGTCTGGATATAGACGTGGCAGACCTGGGACCTGCTTTGGTCCTACAGCTATACACAGCCCAACTTTCCTTTTCATCACAGGTAGGAAGCTCAGAAAAAGATTTGAATCTTCTGCTATACCCATTGTTGACGGAGAATTCATTCCTAAGGGTCAGTCGAGTCAGGGCATTGTCAGTAGAAATGCTTTCAGAAAAATGGCGCTCCCTGCCTTTCGGAGGAAGACTTTTTCTTAGCTGATCCCCATGCACATTAATGCTTTTTAAGCTCTTGGACCGATAGAGGTGCGACTCAGATTCCCACTCCAGAGTTGAAGCACTCCTTTGTTGTTGCTGTGAGCTGGCCACTGGGAGGCTCATTCTGGGTTTCTGTTTAGGCTCCAACGGAAAAGGAGGGCTTAGCCTCCTCTGGTGGTCAGAGAAATCTGCTTCCCTGGGGCTGGTGAATGTGAGCTGGGCCGGTGCTCCCGATTCTTTCTCCAAACTCTGGGTTACTGTTACAGCTTTAGAATCCTCACGCTTTGGTGGTGATTCTGAGGTATTTCTAAACTCATTCTGACAGACTTGTGAAATGCTACTAGGTTTCTGACTGCTAAAAAGTGGAGAAGGTTCTCTGTTGGGCATTACAGTGACCTGGAGAGGGTTCTCAGAACTCCTGACCTTCACTCCATCATCACTCAACCTGCTCTGCCCTGTGGCCTCTGCAGACTTTGGAGTAGGCTCAGGGGACAGTGGGCTGCACTCTGGTGTTCCAAGAGATAAATGGCCAAAGCCAGACGTGTTCCCAGTTTGGGGGAAGATAGTAGCTACATGTCTTCTGGGGCTTAAATCTTTAGCAGGGAATTTTCTGCTTGCTTTAGATATGGCTGAGAATCTGTGGTTAACCGAATACCTGTTTTCCTCTTTTTCTAGATCATCCGAGAAAAACTTCTGCATTTCCTCTGTAGCCTCCCTGCTGTCTGTCGTCTTTACTTCCTGACTTCTCTGAGGTAATTCTCTGGCTTCAGACTGCGAACCCTCTGAGTCTGGCTCACCTGACTGCGCCTCCTCAACAAGCTGTAGGTTTTGCAATGCTGGCATAAGAGCAAAGACTTGGCTCTCTGAGTCAGAAGGTGTTTCATTACTCATTTTTTGGCAGTTGGCTCCAATTTCCTCTCTGTCTTCCCTAGGCTGCACTCTATTAGAGCTATCAGCTACAGCTCTGCCCATGTGGTCCTTCTGAGGAGACCTCCCATTTCTCAAAGATATAATGTCTATGCCACAACCTGCATGTTTCCCAGAACTTCTGGTGTGGGAATTTTCAACATTGTCTTCTGAATGGGCCAGGAGACTAGAGGGACCACTGTTACCTGAATTAATGGATGGTTGACAATTTTCAGATTTTTCTTCTGTAATATTTTTTTCCGGAAGCATCAACTTTTTCCCCTTTTCTCTCCTGCTTCGTGAAATACCTAGAGGTGTTTTAGCTAAATTATCTGGGAAAATCTCTCTAGTCTTAGATTCATTTTTATAAACAGAAATGTCTTCCTCATCAGGAACCATTTCCTGCAATGTAGGCTCTGAGGGCCCCCTAATTGGTGACTGTAAGATGGTCCTGTTTTCAGTGGTGAAAGAAAGACAATGAGTGTTCTTCTGAGCAGATGTGACCGGCTTCTGGAGACTCTCAGGTGGAGGTGTTCTTGACTGCTCTTGTGTAGAATAATTTAGGTTATCTTCTTCTAAAGCATTAGGAAGTGTCTCAGTCTCCACGTGAGGTGATTCTATGTGTGAATCGGTATTTTGGGTATACCGTTGAAGGAGGTCACAGAATTTTTTGCTGGGTTTCCTCGGTAAAGTGTAATATATTGAAACGACCTCAAGACATTTCACATTATCTTCATCACCAGAAACAGAAAACATACTGGTAGTCTTAAATTGATGCAGTGTTTTCCCACTTTCTTTTCCTGAAAATTCTGAACAAACAGGTAAAGGGTCTTCATTTGGAAGGGCAAATGCACTTGTCCTGGAGGCAGCAATTTTACCATCCTCTTCAGTGCTTTCTTGAGAGCGCTCCGTTTGGTGGTGTCTTTGGGTTAAAGAACAGCGTCCAACATGTAAGTCACTCTGCACAGGGCTAACGATTCTCTCCCGAGGCCTGGGTGTTAGAGCGGGAGCATCTGTGTCTGACACTGGAGACTTTTCCCCTTCATCTCTCCCAGTTGAGGCCGATGGCTTCTGCAAAGGACGTGCCGTAGCCCTGTTGAGGAAGAAAGGAAGAGGTCCTTTTCTAACAGAAGCAGATCCAGTGATTTTCATACTTTTCATTCTTGCTGTGACTTCAGGTACTACTGGGGCTGAGTCTGAAGTGTCTTTAGAACACTCACTCACTGACTCTGGAGAACTGGGAGAGAATCTGTTTGAGGCGCCTTTTGCTCTTGGATCTTCCACATTATTTTTGACTTGGAAAGGGGGTGGCCCATTCCTAAACGAAGCAGCCAGTATCTGACTTCCTGACTGCCTGCTGTTTATGAGAAAACTGGTTGATTGTCTTGGCAAAGTACAATAAATTGTGTCCAGCTTAGAAGCTCTGGAGTTGCCCTGATTCACCTCAGTGAGGCTGCTGCTGTCACTCGCGGGTATGGCTGTGCTTTCTGTCTTGCTTAACTTTTCAATGCAGGATATGCGTCGTCTTACTTTTCCTTTCCCCTTTCCACTCCTGAAAGGAGAGTGGGAAGGGCCCTTGCCGGCGACCTCTTCATCACGTGCAGCCACGTGACTGTCATGACTCTGCTGGCTTTCTGAGGGGTTGACAGCAAACTGATTGTTTTGGTTCTTCCTCGAATTCTCTCTTTCTTCTCTTTCTCCCAGAGATGGATCTTTGTGTAGAGGACTTCTCCTGGAGAACCCTGTAGTAGAGGGAATCACAAGAGCATCAAAGAAAGAATTATTTGCTGGTGAGGAATGTGGTAGTCCCCCTAAAGAATCACATGAGCTCCTGTGGCCAGCAGCTGACTCGCTACCACTGGTAGAATGAGGTGTGGCACGTTGTTCCCCCTCAGCCTCTAAAATAATTGGCTTTTCTGGAGATTGTGCCCTTTGATTATCAGTAGGTTCAGAGTGCCAGTGGTTATTTGCAATAATGCGTGAAATACCTTCATTTCTTACTGTTAATGCCTGGTGACAATCTCGATTTGGCCTGGGAAAAGATGGAGTTCCACTTTCCTGAGTGAAAGGAAAGGGAGCTGCCAAGCCAAACTTTCTATCTCCAGTAAACCTCTTATCTTTTTTATGTTTATTGGATTTATTTTTGTGTGATATGTACATTTGGGGGCTATCTTTTCTGGAAAAGACTCGGGGTGACCTTTTTGAACTTATTGTGGCAGATACATTAAAATCAACCCTGCTGCTCTTGGCTGAGTCCCGGGAGAGGGGATTTTGAGAATCAGACAAAGGTTTAGAGGTTACCATCTGTGAAACAGGTTGGGGCATTTCACCTGGCATGTTTGTCTGGTCCATCGTGCTTAGCTGTCTGTCATCCTCCGGAATAGAGCCATTTAATTCTTTCTCATTATTCACTTCTGTGACCAAGATATCAGGCTGACTTTCAGCAAGTGGTGAAGAATCAACAGAATGCCTTTTGGTGATGGTGACTTCTGTAGGGCTTCTTTGGTAAGTGGCAGGCTTATCAGGGATAATTTTTTGCAAAGTGACTGTAGGATTCTGAAAATTGGAACTCGGGGGATTCCCTTTGCCATCAGGAATGTGGGGAAAGGAAGATTTGAATGTGGATGCCGTAGTCTGAGCAATTCCAAATGAGGGCGTTTCTTTATTCATATGTACTTCCACAGGAGAACTGCCCTGCTGATACTCCAGCCCACCAGACCTGATGTGATAGCTGGAACTAGTCATGGAGCAAACGTTTGGTGTGCCGAAATGAGGAGTCACCTGGCCCCGATTATCTTGTGATAGCTCCATGCTCTCCATGCTGGATGCCTGAAAATCAAACTGCCAGGGATGTGGCTTTTCTTGGCCTCTAGAAACATTTGTTCCATAACCAGAAGAAAATGATTCCCAGTGTTCAGAAGAAACACTATGGCCGTGACAGGCTGATGCACTATCTGCTTCAATGGAAATCATTTCAAAGTCTCCATCAGAAGTGAAGGATTTCCTTCTGTGATGAATGTCAGACCAGGAAGAATGTTCTTCCCGATGGCCCCCAAAAGGACTTTGTCCAAATCTCTGTTCTCTGCCTCGTCCAAAGGTATTCCTAAAGAAAGACCTGGCAAATGGGTTGTCTTGACGGTAGAATGGCATGTTCTCTGAGTTCTCAAATGTGTCAGCACTCATGGCATTGTCCATGCGGGCATTTAAACCAGCACCTTGGTAAACATTCTGTGAATGGTACAATTCGTATCTCTTATTCTCCTGAAGACACCTAGGATACCTATACTGGTCAGCAGGGTCAATTTCCATGGGTGACGGTGCCGCCCCGCACTCCTCCTGGTTCTGCCTGTCTCTAGAAGAATCTACTCTATTCCATATGATGGATGACAAAGGAGTTCTCTTTGGGCTCTGTTGGTGCCTTGGTGGTACAAATCCACTCTTGCTCTGAGTTGTGGATGGAAAATGTAAGCTTTTTGTTGTGAAACGCCCTCTGGCTGGGAAGGCTGATCGCTGTCTGCTGTCAAAACACAGAGACGTACTACCAAAAGTATTCTTCTGCACATAATCTTCTTTTAAGATTCTGGGCTCTCTTGTCCTGTACATGTCATAAATTGTCCTTGTCCTAGGAGAAAAGGTTTTAAAACCTTCCCTCGGAGTTCTTGGTCTTAGGATGTCATAGATAGACATGTTGGAAGTTTCATTATAGTGATTTTTATGCCTTCCTGTGATATTACCATGTCTATTCCCAGTGGAGTAAAAATCACTAAACTGTGCTCTTGATCCATAGTTGAAGGGTGTTCTGGTATTCACTGTGCTTGCAGCTTGTTCCTGAGCCAGTTTGCTATCCAAATCATCTAAAACTAAAAGAAGAATAAGAATTAACTATTTTTTATATATGATTTTACAGTTTAATAATTTTGAGTTGTTGAGTGTGTCTTCAACACACGTTATCATTTTAATTTTATTTTTACCATATTATCATAAACATGACATTAATTTTATTTATATTTTTAAGATAGTCTTTTACAAGATTGTAATGGAAAGTTCCTTTTCATATTTTTCTTTTTTTAAGAGACAGAGTCTTGCTCTGTCGCCCTCAGTAGAGTACTGTGGTATCACAGCTCACAGCAACTTCCAGCTCTTGGGCTTAGGCAATTCTCCTGCCTCAGTCTCCCGAGTAGCTGGGACTATAGGTGCCCACCACAATGCCCAGCTATTTTTTGTTGCAGTTTGGCTGAGGCCAGGTTTGAACCCACCACCCTCAGTATATGGGGCCGGCACCCTACTCACTGGGCCACAGGTGCCGCTCCTTTTCGTATTTTTTCAAATCATACTTTTTGGAAGTAGATCTTTAATAATGCCTTACAAACAAAAAGCTATATTTTTTCTTACAGTGAATTTCAATCATCATTTATTTTAGTGCCTTTAAAGTATACTGAATTTTTTTTAAAGATATGGGCTCATAATAAAAGGGAATTAATAATGCAGATTGCAGCATTGGTTGTACCACTGCATAACTAGACAACTGTAAATAAACTACATCTTTTTGTTTCTTTGGTGTCACTAAGTTGCTATATTTTCACTGTGTATATCTCATGGGATTGTAAGAGAAACGCGTCTGTAATGGCATGTGATTTCTCAACTGTGCTGTCAAGAAAACAGCAGTAACATCAAAAGTTTAGCACCTAATTTATAAACATACTTAGTTTATAAACTAAAGATAGATTTGAGAAATATATGTAATTAAAAGCTCTCTACAAAATAATTAAATGATATGCTAATGATAGATTGTTTTTCCTGGAAAAATTAAGACCCTTAGCATTCCTATAATACAGTGCTTTCTGTGTATCAGAAAGCACTTACTATATTAAGCACTTAATATTAACCCATTAAATCCTCACAACATCTTACAAGGTTGGTACTATTCTCATTGTACTATGAGTAAACTCGAGCATGGAGACATTAAGTACATTGCTAAGGTCACAATATGCTGGGACGGGAACCCAGGCAGACTGTTTCCTGAGTCCATGTACAAACCACTGTACAATGCAGAAGTGTGCCATCTGCATTTTTCGCTCTTTATGAACTATAATGGTTATTTCACGATGAGATGAGCTCAGAGTTTTATAAAGACATGAAGCTGCTGTTGTCCAGCAATGACTACTCTTGTCTCAGTAATGAGGTCAGAGGGTGGGATCCTAGACAGGGCCCAGTGACCTTACAATACTGAGGATGCAGGCCAAGGCAAGACCAAGGGCTCAGACTTACTAGGACCACAGTCTCTGTGATCGCAGACATCATTGCATTTTCAGTGCATGACTGGTTATTCATTACGTTGTGTTTATTTAATCATATTTCCTCAATAAAGACCTGGGAGACTTTGAATAGAACCACAACCTTTTGAGGTTTTCAGATTCTCTAAGATCCACACTGTAAGACATATATTTGACCATATTTACAACAAACACAAGTTATATGGTTGTTAAAGAAATATTCATGAATGAAAATCAAATCTGAAAGGAGAAATGTTATAGCATTGTTTAGATTACTGAAGAAGTTTTTCATTTATAGAAATCTCTCCTTCTGAGTTACACAAAATGCTACCTCTCCTTGGTTATTTTAAATTACTTGTCATTCAAAATTTTGGTTTTAACTGTAGGATGATGGAGAAAGTGAGGCATATCAGTGTCTGAGCACATATGGGTAGGATGTGCGTGTGACATGCCGATTATGTTAGGGCAGGTGCTAAAAGGAATCTTTACATTTGCTCGGGATTTTTCCCTTCCCTGTGTTATTTATAAGTCGATGCTGTTAAGTTTGTGCTGCCAACAGAAAAACTAGTCTTAAGCATTAAGAATCTGTGACTAAGGGGAAAAAATCTACAATTAAGGAATTCTTTAGGGAATCATCTGTTGATTTTTTATTTATTTATTTTTTGAGACAGAGCCTCACTTTGTTGCCCTTGGTAGAGTGCTGTGGTGTCAAAGCTCACAGCAACCTCATTGGCTATTTTTTTGGGGTGGGGGGGTGTCTCCCTCTGGCTCAGGCTGGTCTTAAACCAGTAAGCTCAGGCAATCCACCCATCTCAGCCTCCCAGACTGCTAGGATTACAGGTGTGAGCCACTGCGCCCAACCCCCATCTGTTGATGTTTTAACACAAAAAAATTTATCCCTAGTCCTTGAAATAACCTATTCCTTATAGTCATAATAAAATAATCAAGCAGTGCCCAAGTATAAGGTGAGGCAAATGAAACAAAACAAATAGGATTTTAAATTATTCAAAATCATCAGAATCCCAGATTAACAATGCTGTTTTACTCACAGTGCCTAAGGTGGGAAAAATTCCTGTTTTGCTTTTCTTTTTTATTTTTTATTTCCCCCCTCCCCAAACAGTGTTTTTTTTTCTTTCAAACAAAACCTTTATTTTAGAACAGAGGTTTTCCTCTGTCTTTGCCAGGAAGCATATAATTGAACGGAGTCCCTACGGTGACTGTCCAGGCAAATGTCTCCCTCTGACCACCAGACCTGTCCAACACAATAGGCTAGAGGTCATGTTATTCATTAACATTGCAAACTGAATTTGGTTCCTCAAGGGGAAGCTGGTGTTGACTTTAGAGTTAACTTCTCAAATGACTAAACTTATTCTGACATAGAATAACCTATGTAAAGGTGAACTATATAATAATAAGATACATGTGATACTTTTGGCATCTGTTTCAGTTTGTATCTTTATTGCACAAGGTTAATTGCTTAGTGACAATTAAATTTCATCACAGTGCACTTGGTCCTGATCAGGAAAAATAAGT